CACACACACACACACACACACACACACACACACACACACACACACACTGTAAAATAACTAGGAAAAAATCTTCACCTCAAATTATTTGCTTCACTTTTATATTCTGCCCATATCTTCACTGTCCTACTTTCAGCTACATTCTTATCAATGTAAGTTGAGGCACAGAACCTCTTGATGTTAGTATGAGTCCATCACAGGCATGAAAAAGTGACAGAAGATGGCTTCATGTTATCACCAAGTCCTTACTCAAGGTATAGAAACAGATTACCAATGTGTCATTATATTAGAGAGAGCGGCGGGACTGCTCCTGTCTTCAATGACACCTAATGACTTACAAAACTGCAGAACGGATGATGTTAAAGGCGAAATAAGGCATGAAGTGATGGTAAAATTAATTCTGCTTCAAATTAAGGGCAGAGAAGACTTGGGTCAAATGTGTCATAGAGGATTTAGGCCTGAGAAAAGGCAGATAGATAGGAGATGAAAGATGAAGAAAAGAAATTACAATGGATCTAAAGACAATACTTAAGTAGGGGGGAAAAGATACTGAGGGGATCATTTAGCAATCTGTTGTTGGTAATAAAAGTTGACAAAGTTTTACAGAGGTAGTTCAAAACAAAAGGAGGACTTGGAACGACTGGAGGCCTGACCCCAGCCTTAAGAGCAGTTGCCACAGTAGTGCTGTGGTGGCAAAGGCCTTTAATCCCAGCACTCAGCAGGCAGAGGCAGGTGGATCTCTGTGAATTCGAGGCCAGCCTCGTCTACAGAGGGAGTTCCAAAACAGCCAGGGCTACACAGAGAAACCCTGTCTCGAAAAACAAAAAAAGCAAATCAACCAACCAAACAAACAAACAAATAAACAAACAAACAAAAAAGAAGAGCACTTGCCACTATTGCAGAGGACTGGGGTCAGGTTCCCAAAACTCCCACAGCAGCTTACAAAAGCCAGTAACTCCGGTTCCTGGGGACACGAAGCTCTCTTTTGGCCCCTAAGAGTACCAGGCACATGTGACACACATGCACACAAATCATCCAGGTGAAGCACTTATATACACAAAGAGAAATAAATCTTTTTTGAGAAGTGGACTTGGATTATGGAGCGAAGAACAGAGCCATCACTTTACAGGCAAGAGAAGGCCAGGAAGAAACCTCTTCAAACGGGCTATGGCGGGACTACTTAAATGTGTAAGGCAGCTAACTAGCGGTCTGTTGAACTGGTGGCACAGTGTAAGAGGGAAGCGAAAGAAAGACGTGGAAGCAGGGAAATCATTAGGGAGCCTGTTGAACTGCTCTGTGCAAGAACAGAGGGACCGATGGGGCAGAGCCCCAGAGTTTCTTTGACCGTTGGCATTCTGTCTCCAAATTCATGTTTCCTTCTATTGTCTAGCATGTAGACGCATATTGTGCTCAATAAGTAACTGACGCTGTTAATGGAAAGCATGCGGGAATTCTTGGTGCCTCTTTGGTAAAGGACCGTGGCAGTGGCTGGGGAAATCTGAGAAGGCAGCTGGACTTAGAATGGAAGAGTCCAGGTCTTCGTTCCAGCATGAACTTTGGCCATTGAGAGTTCTCTAGCTGTTGTAAATGTCCACACAGTTCAATGGGATTTAGAATCAGCACAGAGACAAACCTCGGGGCATGTCTGTGAGGGGTTTTCTAGATTAGGATAACTGAGGTGAAAAGACCTATGCTAATGTGGTCACCATTGCATGGGTTGAGTCATGCCCCATGGCAGGAGAGCGAGTCCTGTGCAGAAGTGCTGCTTTCTCTGCTTCCTGACTTCAGGCACAATATGACCATGACATCACACAGGACCCTTCTGCTATGACTTCCCTGCCACTAACGGACTGGACTTTCAAACTGTGAGCCCAAATCAAGCCTTCCTTCCTTAAGTTTTATTTTTTTAAATATTTATTTATTATGACTGTGTATGTGTGCTTTGGGGGGTGTGGCATACATGTACCAGAGTACACAGAGGACAACTTTGTGGATCAGTGTTGTTTTTAAACACAATCTCAAACATTTGATTTTATCTGAAAGCCTGCTAGCTCAGAGAGGCAGAGAAAGCACCCAGCGGACCTTCCTAACTCAGCTGATGTCCCAGAAGGAGAAAGCCCCTTCTCCTTCTCCACGCTGTCTTAAAAACCCCTCACAATGAATGTCTTCCCTTTCAACTTCCTGTACGTCCCTCTAACTGTCCTCCAAACTTCCTTTCACTCTCTATAGTTTTTTTCCTACGTTCATTCCCTGTCAATTGGTTGCTTGCTCTGCCTCTTGACGTACGGTTGACTTTATTTAATCCTGGTTACAACAAACAGAAATCTTTTGGATTAAAGGTGTGTGCTAGGGCTGAGCCACACCACAACTAGAAAGAGGTTTTTCGAGTACACAATCTCGGGGTTATGTTTTTCTCTGAATATTCAACAACAAAGCAGCCTGCCAGACAAGCAACTCTCCATGCACACGGCTTGAGAATGGACTCTGGCTTCCCACAGGGGTTCAGAGTGTGATCAAATATCCCGCCACAGATACCCTTCCACCTTCATGTGGGCTCTGGGACCAAGCTCAGGCTATGGAGCTTTGGAACTAATCACTTTTGTCTCTTTGGCCCTCAAGTTGTTTTGTCAGGTATTTGTCAGGGCAAGTAAGGTGACAATTATAGCCGTAATACAGATGGAGGCAACGCAAACAGTCGGAACTAAAGAGGAACTGGGAATTGCTAGAGTCATAGTTCTCAACCTGTGCATCGAAACCCCTCTGGGGGGTCGAGTGACCCTTTCACGGGGGTCGCCTAAGACTATCAGAAAACAGGTATTTATGTTATGGTTCATAACAGTAGCCAAATTATAGTTATAAAGCCGAAGTGAAAATAATTTCATAGTTGGGGTCACCATAACATGAAGAATTGTAACAAATGGTTGCAGGTTTTTAGGAAGGTTGAGAACCACTATTGACAATTTATTCCCTGGCTACACTTGTGAGTCTGAGGTAAAAGAATCAAGAGTCCCTGGGCTACACTGTGATACTCTGTCTTAAGAAAACAAACAAATGAAAACTCATTTCCTGTTACTGTCCATAATACAATCAAGTTTGAGGATTACGTATCAACATAAGCTGTGGCAAGAGTCAAGGAAGCTAGGACTGAGGGAAGGCATCTCTAACAAGGTAACAGCATGTAATATCTGAAATTTCTTCTAGCTCTAACATTGTACTACCAAGCCAATTTTTTTTAAGGTTCTGAATTAGGCTGGAGAGATGACTTAGTGGTTAAGAACACTAACTGCCCTTGCAGAGGACTTGGGTTCATTTCCCAGCACCTGCATGTCAACACACAAGCAGTGTCTATGACTCTCATTCAGGGGATCTGATGCTCTCTTCTGGGCTCTGTGAGCACCTGGCATGTACGTGGTGCAGAGACATAGTTGCCGGCCAGACACCCAGGCACATAAAATAGAATTATATATATATATATAATTATATATATTAATATACACACACACATATATATGCATGCATTTTATAAAAGGTTCTAAATTTAGTTTTCAAATGTTATCAATAACAATGTCATAGTGATGAGTTTTCTTTTAAATGTGTCAGGCAGGCTGAAGAGATGGCTCAGTTGTTACTCCTTTTCCAGAAGACCCTAGTTCGGTTTCCAGAATCCACCTCTGATGGCTTACAACCAACTGTAACTCCAGTTCTGGCCTCTGTGGGCTCCCACATATTTATACACACAAATAATGAAAGTTTCAGAAAATATAGGACTGTAATAAAGTTAAACTACTAAGTTAAAAGGCAGAATCAGATTTTGCAGAATATCCATTCTTTTCCCACAGCACAAAAATACATGCATTGTGTATGCAGTGTCTTACCCTGTATTGAAATGAAACTGGACTTAATTCCCGGAAACTGTCATCTCCTTCATAAATAGAACGTAAAGCTTCTAGTTCCATCTGAAAAAAAAAAAAAAAATCATGGGTTTTGTTGAGTTCCATGCATGGATTAGAAACAGCGAGTCTTTAGCGTCTCATTCAAACTCACTCAATTATGGAAAATATGGCCTAACTTATTGGCCCCAAAACGCTGATATGTCCATGTACTAACACACATATAATTATGCTAACAACATGCACTTTGAGAGTATTTGTTCGGCACTGCTAAGGGTTTTTACACTGTATCAGCTCACTTATTTCTCACATTCACCCTGTGAAGAGCTCACTCCCATGCTTTCTTCTTGGTATTTTGGAGGAAAGATTTAGGCTAAAGCAAGTTGTGACTATTTTGTGTCTTTGTTCACTCCGCTTAAGTACAGCAACCTGGTGTGTAGAAGATGCACTAAACTTGGAAGTGGGAAACAGGATGCACAATTCCCCATTTCAAAAAGAACATCTGTTATACTCATCATCATTTTCATAGAGTGATACAAAGCTGAAGTAGTATACAGAAGCCCCAAGAAAGAGTATCAGGAAGAAGGCTCACAGGATCTACTCAAGATGATTGAAGGACTAGAAGAGAGGATGCTGATTAGTAACCCTTGCCTGGGATTTGTCTTGGAATACTGTGGCCTATAAATGAGACATCTCAATCACTGTGAGTGACAGCTGAATCTTGGAGAAACAAAGACACGGGTATCTGTTTTAGTTTTCAAAGAGATTGATGT